AATCCATTATAAAATAGAAATAGAAAGAAATTTCCTCAATTAGGTGGGAAGATATAGCTACCCAAAGAAACCTCTAAATCTTATTTGATTATCAAATATTAAACATATACATTAAAGTCTGGTAAGATATATATATATATATATATATACCCAGTAAAATAACATCTATTCAGTATTTTTATAGCACTTCAAATACAGCACAGCAAGAATAGATGAAATTTATAAGAATTAAAAAGAAATAAAACTCATGCACAACTTAATTGTGTACATTATACATGCAAAATAATTCTATAGATTAAAAAAATCAAATGCAATAACTGAAAATAGCATTGTTGGATATAAAGTGATAAGTGAAATTCAATTACTACTTTGCGTTATTAGTAACAAGTCAAAATCAAACATCAGATAACATTTCATTTGTGATAGCACCAAAAATATCAAACGCCTCAGACTAAATTGAACAAAAGTCATTCCTAACTTCTTCACTGAAAACTGTGAGGTATTATGAAGAAAATTTTTTTAAAGATCTAAATAGATGAATGTATATACCAGGTTTATATATTTGAGGATTTAATATTTTAAAGAAGTCAGTGATCCCTAAGCTGATTTATAGGATCAATAAAACTCTAATTATAAGTCACATATGGCTATATTTTTTTGTAGAAATTGGCAAGCTAAATTCTAAAATACATATAGAAATCCAAACAACTAAAAGTATCAAAATCTAAAAGATGAACAATGTTGAAAGACTGAACTAGAATGCTTGGGTGGCTCAGGCATTCAAGCACCTGACTCATGATTTTGGCTCAGGTATTGACCTTGAGGTTTCTGAGCCACACCCAGCTGTCATCGCAGAGCCTCCTTCAGATTCTCTCTTCCTCTCTCTGCCTCTTCCCTGCACGCACTCTCTCTCAAAATAAATAAATTTTAAAAGAAAGAGAGAGACATGAACTAACAGATTTAGAAACAAAACAACAATAGAGCAATCATTAAAAACTATGATTTTGGCACAAACATAGAAATATAGACAAATAGAATATAAGAGAATACCCGGTTTTAGACCCAGGCATGAATTGTCACTGATTTATAGTAAAGTATTGCAGCAGTGCAGTGGGAGAACATGTGATCTTTTACATAAATGCCTCAGGGTTAATTGTATATTCCATAAAAATTAATTCGACACCTTTCTCATACCATGCACCAAAATTTATCCCATATATACCTGAGACCTCAAATTGAAAGGTGAAATTACAAAGCTTCTAAAGCAAACATGAAAGAAAACTTTCTTGATCTTAAATTTGGAGATTTCTTACATGAAAAAAAACTCATGTACACAGGCACAGTTGCTAACCATAAAGTGAAAGACTGATGCATTATATTTAGTTAAAATTCAGAATTTTTATTTATCAAAAACACCATTAAGAGAGCTATCATGTAAACTGCAGGGTGGAGGTGGAGATTTATAATCATATATCTGACATAGAAATTGTATCCAAAAATAATTGTATATTAAAAATGTTACAGATTGGGGCACCTGGGTGGCTCAGTTGGTTAAGCATCTGACTTCCTCTCAGGTCATGATCTTGTGGTTTGTGAGTTCCAGTCCCACAGTGGGCTTCCTACTGTCAGCGCAGAGCCTGCTTTGGATTCTCTGTCCCCCTCTCTCTCTGCCATTTCCCCACTCATGCTCTCTGAAAAATAAATACAATGATTTTATATGTATATGTATATGTGTATATATACACACATACATATAAAATCAATTAATAAGACAAATACAACAGTACAGTTTAAACACATGTCAAAAGACTGAAATGGACATTTCACAACTAAGATTGTCCAAGTGGCCAAAAAGCATAACAAGATGTGTGTTTTTTTGTCACAATTTATCATCAGGTAAATACAAATTAAAATCATACCCCTGTACACCCACCCGAATGACTAAAATTTTAAATATCTGACAATGCCAGGTGCTGGTGAAGAAATAAAGCAATAAGCTATCTCACACAATGTTGATGGTAGTTCAAATTGGTAAAACCACTTTGAAAACTGTATGGTAATATCAAGGTAAGTTGAATGTATGCATACACAGTGGCTTGGCTATTTCCCTTCTTTGCTAAATATGTAACAGAATGCATGAACATTGCACCAAAAGACACATACACAAATGTTCAGAGAACTTTATTCATCATTTCCAAAATCGAGAAATAACCCAAATGTCCATTATTGTTAGTAAAATTATTACAGTCATATTATGGAATATTATTTAGCAATGAAAAGTATCAACTAAGGCTTTGGAATAACCAAATGGATAAATCCACAATCATAATAATGAGCAATAAAACAAACCAAAACAAAACCATGATGAGGTTCATACCATACTAGTACATTATAAAGAGATGAAAAGTGTTGTAAGATGATAGATATCAGAATAGTAATTAGTTTTGTGAGGTGACTATGGGGCAGGGAGATGTGGTGGTTTCTGGTGGTAAATAATGTTCTGTATTCTTAGAGATGGTTACATGCCTTTAACAACTTTTTACAAATTTTCAATATATATACTTAATAGTTCTATATTTTATGTATGGTAAACTTTAATAGAAAGGCAACAAAAATATGTTGAAGTTTTTTCCAAATTTGTTTTATATATACTGCAGTGACTATGAGAAGATATGCCTCATGCTTTTTCAATTCTTCATTGAACATTGACTTTGTCAAAGTATTGAACAATACTTTGTGTATTGTTTCAGGTATTGTTGGAACAGAGGAAGGGTTGACACCTGGTTTCTACCCTTACACTTATTGTTTAATAGAGACTGGATGAGATGTGAACACAAATAATAACACAAGGCATAAACTGCTGTGAACCACATATGGGCTATGCGGTGGGCCACCAGAAGCCTTCAAGAAAGAGATGGCGACTGAGTTGGACACAGAAGCCTCAGTAGGATTAAAACCAGTGTAGACAAGAAGTGGTTTCTCAGCAGGGGAAAAACTTGCAGATGTGAAAATGCAAGAGGGGTGGCTGTGTGTGTATGAAAATATAAAATATGAATATGATCTATGTGAAAATTGTGGGTGTCATCTCACAATCCAGCAGGTGAATTCATTATCACTGAAACATATTGATAAATTGACATTCAAGAGCTGGAAATCGATTGGCTAGTTTCTATTAGCAGAAAACAAACTTTGGTTTCTGTAATTATATTTCTAGAATATCTAGAATCATAAAGTGGCTGTCAGTGGCCAGAGTTTTCTAAGGGGAACCTCACTGGGCATCTTGGGAAATGCTTCTAATATAAGAACTGATAGGATATTTTTCTGAAATGTAGCATGTGTGCCAAGGTGTAGTGGGCAATAGAACTTAAAGAGCAGCTTGAAATTAGATTGTAGAGAGAAGATCTAGGCTAAGGATTTGGTGTTCATGATCAGGAGTGTTTTGATGGCCACTGAGCAGGAGTATGACCAAAAAAGCCACATTTTAGGAACAATTGATTTGACATTGAATGGAAGACTATCACTGCTATAATAACTCAGTATATAAGGCCAGGGCACAAGTACTTACATGTGATCTCTATGCGCTTGTCTCTTTCCATACGTTAAGAATCCAGAGTAAAGGAGGTAACTAGCCAAGGTGATGGTGCCCAGAACTGGATTTTGCAAGTAGTAGAAACAGACCCACTCTTGGCCCAGTGTTCTGGGGTTCTCAGCAGTGGCCGTGAACAAGAAATCCTGCTAAGTACCAGGCTAGAACTGTGCAACATAAACAGATTCACACACAGGGCTAGGGTTGCTGTTTTCCTAGAAATAGGTTACATTACAGGTGATTTTCTCTGCTAAAGCGATGATTTTGGGTGGGTGAAGCTAATAATAGAGTAGTTTCGGGGGTTGGGGCTGAGAATGGGAGAGGGAAGAGACATTGTTGTCTTAAAAAAGGGTTCTTTATGACCTGACCTGTTTTTATGACCTGACCTGTTTTTATGACCGTGGCAAGTCTCCTGAAAATGATTTCAGGGATTGTACTTCAGGTCATCTTCCTCACAGAGATTGTTTTAAAGATTCTTGGAGAATGCCTTCTGCTCTTTGCAGTGTATGAGCCCTGGGCAATGAGCCAAAGTTGTTTTAAATCTCAGTTGAAAGCTCTGGCTCTTTGCATGTGAGTATGTGCCAAAAAGAAGTCTAATAACTTATCAAGTTCAGGCACCTCAGGGAGGTCCAGAAGCAGGAATTTTTGAGAAGGGGCTTAGGGAGCAAGGTTATTAACTCTTGACCCAACTATAGCCCTTTTTAGAGCTACTATTTGTATTTGCTTAATGGAGTACTTCTTTTTTTGCAAAGACAATCAGCCTGAAAGTCCTGAGATGTAGGTTTTTTCACTGAAACTTTTAAATGAGCATTGACCTGTGCTCTTGACCAACCCTGATTATCAGTCTATGCCTCAATTTTGTCCTCTGTAAAATAGAGATAGTGTGTGTCTGACATACGTCCTTAATATATCTTAAAGGTGAACATTCTGTGAAAGAGTACAAAGTAAATTATCTCCGCAAAATTATGTACCCAGCATTCTTGGGCACTGTACTCACCACTACACGGAATTCAGAAAATATTGAGGAAATATTTATTTCTAGTCTCCAGAAGATAAAGACATGACCAAAAAGCAGAGTATGCCAAATTCCTTCTAGGTTGATGTAGTGGATACTGTGGTGTGCCACTCACATTTCTATCCCTGCCTTCCATCCTTTCCAGATGGAAGTATTCATTCTCCCCAGGAGTACTGACAACTGACAGTTTATGACTAAATACTCCCTGTATGGTCCTTGCCCAAGGTCCTCATAGCCAATGACCAGTGGGCAGAGAGAGGTAAAGGCCCTGACTCTTGCTCACAGCTCCAGAGCTCCCCATGGGATTGACTGTGGCCCCAGTAGAGACAGAATTACAGCCCAACTTCTTCCTTGCACAACCTTGCTTCCTTCACTTTCCCAGTAAGATGCCTTCATGCAATACTCCCTTGGGCAGCACATATACTAAAATTGAAACTATATAGGGAAGATTAGTGTAGCCCTACAGGAAGGTGATGTGCAAATTTATGAAGCATCTCACATTTTCCAACCAATAAAATCTTAATTATGAAAGAAAAAAATTCCTTCATACAAATCTCTAGAGTTGGCTTCTGGGGGAAAAAGTCCTTTGGGGGAATTGATAGAAGGAGGAAGGCAAATCCTGTTTTGGGAAGATGAGAACAGGAAAAACTACATGTGGGAAATGGTATTTGTGATGTGGTTTAAGAGATGTGTGGGGCTTTTGCTGAAAGAGATGGTGGAAGAGGAAGTAGAGAAAGAAGTATTTATTACTATATTAAGAGGAAATGGAATAAGTGAAGGCTCAGAGATCAGAAGTACACAAATCTGGAAAGCAGAGTTCACAGAGCCTGGCTCTGTGATCCATTCATAGGCAGTGGAAGGGCAGGGTGAGTATCTGTATTGGAGAGTCCTAAAGTACAGGCTTACAGTAATGAACTAAATCAGAGAAAAATAAAAGGCAAGGAAGGCTTATTTAGAGGAGGAGTTATGCAAGATAAGCTATGTTTTCCAAGAATGATCCAGAAGTGAAAGTAATGAAGGGCTCTGAAGTAGTGGATATTTTATGGTGTTAATAATCTTAGATTATATAAAAAAAATTAGAAGAGTTCCAAATGAAATGAAGATAAGGATGGTATTGAAGCAGTTTGAAAACATACCTAATTACAATACCTCGAATATTCCTTTTTTTAATGTTTATTTATTTACTTTGAGAGAGACGAGAAAGATAGAGAGAGAGAAGGGCAGCATGGAACTTGACCTGGGGCTCAATCTCACAAACTGTAGGATCATGACCTGAGCCAAAAAAAGGTACCCCTTTTTTGTTTTGTCTTTAAATTATTATCCAGGCCAGCTGGCTTAAGGATGACTGGAAGTGGAGAAAAAGAAAAGGAGGGGGAACATGAGAGAAAGAGAGAACATGAGACAGAGATCAGTACAAAGAGGTAGACTCCATCACATTTTATTTCATTATCAATTGTGTATGGGACCACAGCTCTCCAGATCTGTGGCCTTGGGCTAGTCAGCAGATTGAGTGCCCTGGAATTCTAACCTAGCACATAGGCTGAATCAAGCATGGCTCACTCAGATCACATCTTGGGGTTGAAATTCATCATGGCGGCTTATTGTAATTGAGGCAAATCATTTTACTTCTCAAATTCTCATATTCTTTATTTGTAGAAGTAAATGGCTTGGATAGAATTTTTAAAAACATTGTGGGAAGGGCTTTGCAGTGTGTAGTGCATAATAAACACCATACACATATAAAATTTGTTATTAGCTTTGCCACTGATTGTCTAGACCATGGGAAGAGTCTTTGACACCTATGAGTCTCTAATTTGTTTGAAAAACTAGTTGGTGGCTTTTTACAGTTATTACTTTCTATATTAAATATTTTTTAATGTTTATTTTGGAGAGAGAGACAGAGCACAACTGGGGGGAGGGACAGAGAGGGGGGGGAGGAGACACAGAATCCAAAGCAGGCTTGAGGCTCTGACTTGTCAGCACAGAGCCCAACATGGGGCTCAAACTCACAAAACCACAAGATCATGACCTGAGTTGAAGTTGGACACTTACCTGACTAAGGCACACTGGTGCCCCCACTTTCTTTATTTTTAATGCTAGGTTCCAAGTATGATTTTCTTCAAAATTAAAATAAAAACACAAATTAGTTAACCCAACTCAGAAAGATAGGTATACTCCGTGAACTCCCCAGAAACAGATGAGGAACTTGAATGGTTGTTGGGAGGAAGAAGATGTCATTGGCTTTAGTCCTTGCCAGAGTTAGGGTCTATTTTGGAATTGCCTGGTCAATACCACATTGTTTCTGAGACTCTGTGGGTACTAGATCTGCCAAATCCTCTTTTTTCTCCCCCCACCCTTACCGGAAAGATATTATCTACTCCAACTACTCACAAAACATTTGCATTCCTTGCTGTTGGGTTTGAGCCAGAGCCAAAGGCCCTTAAAGCTTCTTTTGCATGACAGTATTTCCTGTGAAATACTGCCGTGGTCAGGCACTGGATCAAACCTAATTCATGAACTGATTCTTGTTCCTCTGCTATGCTTTCAATATCCTCATCTAGGTGTTAGGAAAAGCTTCGTGGGCATTCACTATGTCAACACATCAGCACAGCTTGGATTTTAGTAGAGACCCAACACAAGGCAGACAGCAACTGAACTTGCTGCTGCAGAACATGGACATAATCCTGCTCTCACTCCCCCACCCTAATCCAGTACAAATTTATACAATGTTCACTCCAGATTGAAAAAGGGAATCTGAAGGCAGCCCACTTTTCCAACTCTCTCACTAACTTGGGGTTTGGGGGATAGGATCAGAGGGCAGTGTGATGAACTGGAATCTCTTATCTACTGTAGGTGAGGTTTTCTACTATGTATGATGACAGTGCTTGGACTTCTATTATAGGCCTATTGTGCTCTGTTATTTTCTTTACATATGTCACATAGTTTCTACTCAGCAGAGGAAGATTGTTTGGAGTATGTGCCCCTTATGAGTCTCTGAAGACATATTAAGGAAATGTATATACTAAGTTGCTGTCCAGATTTGTCTCATCTCTTATCCTTCATCCAGCTACTACTGTAGAAATTGCTGGCACACATTTGAAAGTCATAGAAAGAATCAGAAGTCTTAGGCTCTTGTTCTGGTTCCATCTATAAGAGTTTATAGGACTTGGAAAGTCATTTGCCCATCCTGAGCCTTGGTTCATTCATCTGAAAAATGGGAGTAATGGCAGGCTGTGGTGAACTTTGGTTGGGATTACACAAGTGTCCTGTGGATTTCAAAAAGATAACAGGCATATGGGGCGGAATCATGATTTCACAATTTTATATCAGACTTCCCTGACCAGAACTGCAGCACCTCTGGACTTCCATCGAAAGGTATTTTTTCACCTCTGCTATATGTAGAGGAAAACATAAGACTCATTTTTCATTACTTTTTGACTGCTATCCTTTATATTACTTCCTGGAAAGTATGCAATGGTTTATCTGGTGAGGTAATTATGTTTTAGTCAATGGCAAGAGCCCAAAACAAATCTTGACTGCCTTTTTGAGATAAATTCTCGTAAAAGGCTAGTGTTGGTGCTGTGAAGGGTGTCTTTCTATTCAGAAGGGAAAAGAAAGAACTCGCAGTGGGCTTCTGATTCCCACTATCTTCCAGATACCATACTGAGAGCTATTTACCCCCTTAGAGTAAACTTGACCCCAGGATGAAGAGATCAGCTGGTCCCTAGTGGAGAGAAGCAGGAAAGGAGTATATATCTCTTTCATTTGTCTCTCCTACTACAGCTTATCTTCTGTCTTTGCAGACACATGTTTGTAACTGAACTTCTTCATTTTTGTTAGGACAGCATTGGTCAAGAAAAGCCAAAGAGTTCTATAAACATAACTACATTGACTTTAATCTCTGGCATATCATATTCTGTCTGGATCTATCACTACCTTGTAAGTCCTGGTCATCTTCCACATGGCAGAAGCTAATTCCCTCAGGACAAGGGAACACTTTCCAGAACATTTAAATACTTCAGTGTTTCCCTGTTTTCCTGCCTATCACCTATGAGGACTCTGCCTTCATCCAGAACAGTGATGGCACAAATGACTTCCCCATTTGAGAGAGTAAGCCCCTTGTGCAGTAGAAGTGATAAGGCTTCCATTGTATGGAAATTTCCAAACATAAGCAGTAACCTCACATTAATCCCACTTATCCCAAACAATGCCCTCAGAGAACAAGTCATAGGTTTTCTCTCAGACAGTGAGACAGCTGAGGGCCAATGAGAAAAAAAAAACTCAGCGCAGCTGATTTAGTAACCAGGTTAGTCTCTTGAAAGTCTGTCATTACTTTAAGTATTCAGACACTTTCATTAAATAATCAGTGTGAAGCCTACCCCATGGTCAAGTGGTCATGTATCCCCATTTTATATGAATAATGAATACTGTGAAGTTCGTAGAGCTTCTGTGTCTTCTCATATCTCCTGTTCACACAGTCTTCTGCCACTGGTTTCTAGACACTCTCTTAAACCACATCTTGACTCCTAGATCAACTTCTTCTCTCTATAGAAAAGTAGCAGACGCTGTAACTTTTCTTAGTGTCTTGTCACCTTAGGCCTCAAGGATATCACAACTAGTTAGCAAACATACTAAAAGATCTTCTGTATCTGATTGGACTTGTAATTATCCTTTTTGGGAAGGAGTAAAGGTGTCTTCATTTTCTCAGGGAAGAGAAAAACCTAGGCAAATAAAGTGTATGTCTCGTAATGTAGTAGGGATGTTCTGGAAGGCATAGGACACTATAGAGCTGATTATGTTAAACAGAAGCCTTTTGCTCCACCTCAGGTATTCTTGATGGCTTTATTTTTCTAGCACATCCTCTGCTTCCGGATTACATGGATACCACTGGAACTTGTTCCAGCCTCCTAACTGAGCATCCTGAATTAGCTGCTTAGAGTCTAATTTGAAGCCTCACTCTGAGGTCTATTCATGCCACAGCCCCTCCTTCTTTGGAGCTGGATGAAATGGGAAATCTGCCTTACTGAGTGATCCCAAGGAATCAGATGATGTGAACTAGAGGGCTGAAGGAGTCAGATTCTCAGGGGGTAAACCCTGACCAGCTGAAGCAGGAGACTGGGGAGAAGCAGGCAGGTATTCATTCCTCCTCTTCTCCCTTTTGTGAACAAATCTGAGACGTGGATTTCTGTGTAGCCCTCCAGAGAAAGTGCTGTATGCTAGAAAACAATCTTCATGGCACCCAATGTGTTTTCTTCAAGACTTCAAATAGGATGTGGCCAGCAGAGTAACTCAATGAATTGTTTCTCAACTTTTCTTGCTTTGCATTTATTTATTAAAATGCATGTCAACTGAACTTGCATCCAACCCCCAAATGTGTGTCAGTGCTTCCATTTCTGCCCTGAGCTGTGTTTTTAGGGAACGTAAGCCAAGAACGTGTCTGAGTTACTCTTATTCCATGGTAGCCAGTATAGTCATGGGCACATTGCACTCCTCAGTAAATTCAGA